GTCTGGGCCTTTGCACATACTCTCCCCTCTGTCTAGGACACTCTTGGTCTGATTACTTGCATCAGTAATATGTGTGTTGTGTGATGAAGTGGACTTTGGAGAAAGGCAGTCCTGGCTTTGAATTCTAGCTCTGTTGTTTTCAAGCTCTATGTTACCTTGAGCCTACTGACTGACTAATTCTCTGAATCTCTGTTCTCACTTGTAGAAAGAGGAATAACAATACCCACTGTGTCTGGCATATGTAGGTTTTTCTTTTCAACCACCTGACCCTCTTCCACCTATCCACTCTCACACATTTTTTTTCTGGGAATTGCCCTTTCTTCCCTATTTCTATAGGAACAGAGGTGGTCCCTGGCAGTCATGTTTGTACAACATGATCAAGCCCACTCTTCACAGATAACTGGGCCAGAGGTTGACACCCAGCCCAAGTTGGACCATCAGTTCCTACCTCTAGGCCCAGAGTGGGAACCAAAGACCCTCCAAGTGGGACCCAGAGAGCATCACACTGGAATCTTCCCTGTGCAGTTGGATAGAGCATAGATTTAATGGCTGTCAGGAGTCAGATGTTTCTGTGCGGACGGGATGCAGAGAAGGCTGGCCTGCATCAAAGACAATGGAAGCAAAGGTTTCAGCAAAGGCCTGGGAACCAAGAAAAGGTCTTATACCTTTGACATCCTGTTTCTAGGCACTGCCTGAGACCAGCTGCACTGAGTCTGGGAGAAACCCCTTCATTCTTAAAGAAGAACAAAAATGTTTTTTCTTAAATAGCTAAACTGGGTTTCTATTATTTAGAATCAACAAAGTCCGACGTAATTTACCTATCTTACAGAGTTAACGTGAAAGTTAGAAATGAGGTACATATACATATGGTAGGTCACCAAGAAATAATTACAATAATATTATCAATACAGTCAAAGGATGAACGAGGTTAGGACTGAGGAAGGGAATTCAGAACTCTCTGCATCCATTTCTCTAGAATAGTTTCAGAAGGAGGGCCCAATGCTTAGTACTGTATCATCCCATGAATTTTTTTTAATTGAACAGGTAAAGTATAATATTTTAGTAATTTTGAAAGAAAGGAAAAAGTTGTGTATAATCTCATCCTACCAAACTGAAGCAAATATTTTTATTGCATACATAATTTACATACTTATAATCATGGTGCACATTCTACTTTGTGTCCAATATTTTTCACTTATGTCATAAACATTTAATATTTCTATACAGACTTCATAATCATTTTAATGACTGCATAATATTTAAT